AAATGTTTACTGCTTGTATCATTTTTAATGATTATCTGATCTAACCAAATTATTTGACTACTCAGATATTGGTCCTGGTTGTATTGGTTAAGGGAATTTCTGTTATATATGATATGAGGCTTTCAGGAAGCCAGTGAAGACCAAGTAGTACTTAAAGATGACTATTACATGGGAATCTCCAGGATGAATGGGATGGGATTCTGTACAAGGGAATTATTAATCAAAATATATTAATGTGCATGTTACAAACTGTTCTGCTAAACTACATTATCATTTTGTGTTTACCCAGGAGCCTTTGAAGGAACTGGGAGAGGAAAAGAAATTAATATTTAATGAGCATCTTCTACCAGACATTTTGCTAGGTCTCTACATGTATTATCCTGATTAATGCTTACAGCAGCTCCTCTTTTCAGAGGAGGAAGCAGCTTTAAATAACAGGTTAAATAACTTTCTCAAGGTAATTTAGCTAATGAGTGGGAAAAGAGAATGCCTTTACCTTACCAGGGAATCTCATTAAAATCCCTTATGTTCTTTAGGTAAATGGTGAGGCATTCATTTAATTGCTGAGTAATAAAATCTCCTTTGAATTAAATAAGACCAAATGAACTCTGATTCTTCTTTAGTAGGTTGGGAATCACCGCAATGTTGGCAGAGTACCCGCTCTGGCCTTTTTCTTCTTCTAAAATCTTTTGTTGGTTTAGAGTAGTATGGGGACTGTTAGATTTTTACTGTAGATGGAATTGGCAGTTGACCTCCCCCTCCTCAAAGAAAAGCACATTATAGCACAACACTGTAGTGGGACAGAACTTAAGAGGGTGGAAAAATCATAACTTAGGGAATGATATGCTGGTTTTTGGCAGTTGAGCCAAAACCCTTGAGTACATTTGGCTTTCGAATGGTGTTGAATGGTATTATGAATCCTAATGATATTTTACTTCAAATAAAGTAGTTTTTAGGTAAATTAAAAAATAAATATTTCTTTCATGTTTTGAATGTTGAAATGTAATAAACATTGAAGAAGTAGCGAGCAGGTTTCTTCTGAGGGGTCTTTTTCATCATTTCATTTCTTTTACATTTGTGATTTAAAGGTAAAAAGATAGTTACACAGTAATACAGTTGGCCCTTCACACCCCTGGGGTCTGCTTCCGTGGATTCAACCAACTGCAGGTAGAAAATATTTGGAAAAAAAAAATTCCAGAAAGTTCCAAAAAGCAACACTTGAATTTTTTGTGTGTGGCCGCTATTTACATAGTATGGGCTTCCCAGGTGGCATTAGCGGTAAAGAACCTACCTGCCAATGCAGGAGACTTGAGACAAGGTTGGGGTTGAATCCCTGGGTTGGGAAGATCCGCTGGTGAAGGGAATGGCAACCCAGTAGTCTTGCCTTGAGAATCCCATGGACAGAGGAGCCTGGTGGGCTACAGTCCGTAGGGTCACAAAGAGACAGGACTGAAGTGACTTAGCACACACGCACATGTTGTATTTACAACTATTTACATAGCATTTTAGAGAAGGAAGTGGCAACCCACTCCAGTATTCTTGCCTGGAGAATTCCTTGGACAGGGGAGCCTGGTGGGCCACAGTGCATAGGGTTGCAAAGAGTTGGACACTGCTGAAGTGACTTGACACGCATGCATATAGCATTTACATTGTATTAGGTACTAGAGGTAACCTAGAGATGATTTAAAGTGTACAGGAAATTGTGCATATTTCCTGTACAGGAATTTATGTGCAAATACTGTACCATTTTATATAAGGGACTTGAGCATCCACAAATTTGGCTCTCTGTGGGTTGGGCGAGGGGCAGGGAGGAGTCCTGGAACCAATACCTCGGTACTGAGAGCCAGCTGAGCATGAATAACTCCTGTTACAAAAGATTCAAATACTCAGAAGTAAACTTGAAAGCCCCTTACTTCTTACAACACTGTCCTGTCTTATCTGGTCCCTTATCAGTTCCTTCTTCAGAGATCATTGCTGTCCCATTTTTGGCATGTACCTGTCAACTCCTGCCTCTAAAAAAAGCAACTTTTACATATCATATATTTCTTGTTTTTTCCAGTTATTATGCCATGGACATATTCCCCTCACAGCGTATATAGTCAACTCCATTCTTTAGTAGGGAGTGTGTGATTCAGTCACTTTCTTGTTGTCACTAGGCTTTTGTATATTTTTGGGGAGAGGGGCCACATGTGAAAGTACTTCTTTAGGATAAATTCCTGGAAGTGAATCCAGAGTTCTATAATTTGAATTTAAACAAAGTTTTTGCCATTTGAATTTATTTTAATTTTTGATGTTTTTGACTTTTAAAATAGCCCATTCAAGAAATAGGTAATATACATGCATGTCAAAATTCAACAGGTACAAAACGAGTCAGCCTCTCATTGCCTCTCCTTCAACTGATCTGTTTTGTTTTTTCAGTGTCCTCTGTTAATATTTGTGTATATCTTTCCAGGAATAATCTGTGCACATATAGGCATATGTCATATGCCTTATGATTTGTCATTTTTTTCCTCCACAAAGAATGCTGTACTCACCGTCCTGTAGTAGAGATGTATCTTAGATATGATTCCTTTTTTTTTTAATTTTTAAATTCAATTTATTTTGGCTGCACTGGGCTCTTTGGTTCAGCACACAGACTTCTCTGCTTGTAGCACATGGTCTTTGTTGTGGTATGTGGGATCTTAGTTCCCTGACCAGGGATCACACCTAGGCCCTTAGACATTGTTCTGCACTAGTGTTTGGAGAATGGCTTCATTTTTCTGTTTAGCACTGCATCGTGCAGCTTTCCCGTACTTGATTTAGCCAGTTCCCAATTGATGGACATCTAGGTTGCTTCCAATCATTTGCCACTATAATGCTGCTTGTATATGTCATTGCGCATCTCTGTATGAATGTAAAGGGTATGGGCATTTAACATTCTGATAAACGTTGTCAGACTGCACTTTGTGAAGATTGTTCAAATTTACACTCACAGCAAGAGTATGAGCATGAAACACTCACACTGCTTTTTCAGACTTCTTGACCTCTGTCAACCTAAGTAGTCAACATGTTGGTTTAGTTTGTTTTCATCTTTTGATATATTAAAAAGTTCTCATCTGCATTTCCATTTCTTTGAATTTCCGATTTTCAGTTGGTTTATTGATCTTTTTCTTACTGCTTTGTAGGAACTTGTTAGAAATCAAGGAAACTAGCTGTTTGTGACATATTTGGCAAATCCTTTTTCTCAGTTTCTTATTTATTATAGTCCTTACCATGCCTGATGGAATGGGAAATGGCAACCCACTTCAGTATTCTTGCCTGGAAAATTCCATGAACAGTGGAGCCTGGCTGCCTACAGTTCATGGGATCACAAAGCGTGAGACACGAGTGAGCAGCTAAGCACACACATCATGCAAAAACTTAACTATTTTTGTGTAATTTCTTAAACTTTTTCTACCCTCTGACGCAACTGCCTAGGTACAAAATGGTGGGTATCATCTCTGATAATTCAAATTGTGTGATAAAATGTACAGAAGATAATGACTATAGTTTTGGGTATTTTGCTTTTAGAATATTTTCTGGACTGATTAAACATTAAATAGTTTTGGGTATTTTGCTTTTGGAATATTTTCTGGACTGATTAAACATTAATATCTGCCAGTATTATAATACTAAAAGTAGGATTGTAAGTCAGGAAGGAAAGATTTCATGGGTGATCTGACTGAACCAGCATTTCCTAAGTATCTACAATGTGCAAAATTCTTTACTGGGTATTGGGATAAACCTTTAGTGAATTTTGAGGGTGGGCGATACATACTAGTGAAAACTGATAGAATTGGGAAAGAGCTTGGCAAGATTAAATTTAGGAAAGATGAGACAATCTAGGAAGTAGTTTCTTATCTGTTTTGCTCTTAAGCTTCCTGACTGCTTCTCAAGTCCAGTCTGAGGTTTCACAATCTCCATTCTTTGTTAGAAGCGTTCCAGGGATTTAGCCTGCTTTCCATCTTCATTTCCTTCTTACTTTTTCTTTTTGGTTTAGTGCCCGCCAAGACTGACTGTGAAACCCGATGGACTCCCCATCCAACCCCTTTTATTGTCCCCGAACGTAGGAACATAAAACCTTAATGACCATGGTTTATTGCTGATCACTGTGTATACACAAGTAAAGATTTTTAAAAATAACAAATATGAGGAAGTCAGAAAATAGAGGAGTATATGTTACTAAGTTCCTGTAATAATAGGCTGTAGTTCTGGGTTCCCTTGATGAGCTGGTGAGACAGTTGTCCTTTTTACCTTCTACTTTTGTTTTGCTGGTACTCCACCCTTAAGACTTTGCTCTTTTGTTTAAGCTGCTGTTCAGGGAAGGCTGTGTTGGGTACTTCCTCCATACGGACTTGGTGGTGGATTAGCCACTAAGTCGTATCCCACACTTGTGACCTCATGGACTGTAGCCCACCAGGCTCCTCTGTCCGTGGGATTTTCCAGGCAAGAATAGTAGAGTGGGTTGCCATTTCCTTCTCCATGGGATCTTACCGACTCGGGATTGAACTTGGGTCTCCTGCGTTGCAGGTGGATCTTTACAGACTGAGCCTCCAGGGAAGCCCTCACACTGACATAATGGTCTGATTTTAATCTCTCCGTGCCGTGCTGTGCTTCATCGCTCAGTCGTGTCCGACTCTGTGTGACCCCATGGACTGTATCCCGCCAGGCTCCTCTGTCCTTGGGGATTCTCCAGGCAAGAATACTGGAGTGGGTTGCCATGTCCTTCTCCAGGGGATCTTCCTGACCCGGGGATCGGTAGAGCTAGTCAAACAGAACAGTGGGTGAGCCTTTGTTCCCTTGTTCCCAGGTATAATCTATCAACTTACCTGGACCTGTCCTGTTTTCTCCCCTTTCATCTCAGGGATAATTGTCTTTTTCCCTCTGCATGGTTAATCTTCCCATTGCTTAGCTGATGTTAAATTTTATTTTTATTCACATTTTTGATCTGTATATTTGAATTGTTTCTCATTTGTTTTTAGGTAAAATTTGGTAATACCACCTTTAAAACAGATGTGTATCTCAAGTCCCTCAACCCGCAGTGGAACTCAGAGTGGTTTAAATTTGAGGTAAGTTTTTAAATGTCAGCATTTTTTGTATGTGTATCTTTGAGATGACCCATTCCCCTCCCCAAGAATGATCGTACTACCTTTTATTTCAGGTATTGTAGTTTTTCTACACCAGGAAAATATTTTCCTATGTGTGTGCTCAGTCTCTCAATTGTGTCTCTTTTCAGCCCCATTAGCCTCTGCCCATGGGATTCTCCAGGCAAGAATACTGGAATGGGTTCATCTTCCAGGGCATCTTCTCAACCCAGGGATCAAACCTGCATCTCCTGCATCGGCAGGCATATTCTTTACCACTAGTAACAGCTGGGAAGTCCTAGGAATATTGAATTTTCAAAAAAATTATGTTACAGTTTAGAAAAATGGTGTATGAATAGGAGAGCCCAGATTAAAAAGAGATTATATTATTATGTAATAATTTTCCTCTGGATTTTAGCATATACCAAAAATCACTTAAGAACTGTGTACAGATTAAAAGTTTTTGAATTTTGTAAAAACATAAATATTACCATTTTAACCATTTTTAAGTGTACAGTACAACAACATTAATTGCATTTACCTGCATACAGTGATATGCAAGCATCACCACTATTTCCAAAACTCTATGGTCACTTCAGAGAAACTACTCATTCAGCACCAACTCCCTATGCCCTCCTCTCCCCTACCGCTTATAACCTCTCATCTACTTTCTGTCTCTGAATTTGCCTTTGTAAATATTTCATATAAGTGGAATCATAAGTATTTGTCCCCTTGTGTGTGGCTTTTTTCACTTAACATGATGTTTTCAGGGTTCATCTGTGTTGTGCAGTGTGTATCCAAATTTCTTTTTATGGCTGAATAATATTCTATCTTAACGAACATACTGTATTTTGTTTATTCTCTTCATCTGTTTTTGAACACTTGGATTTGTTTCTGCCTTTCGGCTGTTGTGACTAATGCCACACTAGTGAACACCGACATACAAGGATCTGTTTGAATCTTTGTTTTCAGTTCTTTTGGGTATATACCTAGAAGTGGAGTGGCTTATGGTTATTTCTGTGTTTAGCTTTTTAAGGAACTGCCAAACTTTTCCACAGTGGTTGCACCATTTTGCATTCCCACCAGCATGTCTTGAGAGTTTCAGTTTTTCCATATTCTTGTCAATATTTATTTATTTTAAAAATGTCAGTCATCCTAGTAGGTCTGAAGTGGTTTTCACAATATAATTTTAATGTGCATTTTTATTATGAATGAGGTGAGTTTGATTTCTTATGGCTAAGGCTCATTTGCATTCTTTTACTTTGAACTGTCTCATATGTTAACCACCAGAGGAAGATATTTAGATTTTGGAGGTAGATTTCACCAGACTTGATGACAGTTTTAACACAAAGTATGTAAATGTGAGGTGGTATCTCACTGGTTTTCTTTTGCATTTCTCTGATGACAAGTCTCTCTACCTTTACTTAGAGAGAAATCTGTAAGATTTTTTTTTTCCCAGAGATAAGTAATCTTCTACATTATGCATACATTTATGGTAATGAAGATTTTTATTATATTTTTATTATAAGACTTAACTTTTAAAGTATCTTTTTTAGGTGGATGATGAAGATTTACAAGATGAACCTCTCCAGATCACAGTTCTTGACCATGATACGTATAGTGCAAATGATGCCATTGGTAAGGTGTACATTGACATTGATCCTTTACTGTACAGTGAGGCTGCAACTGTCATCTCAGGATGGTTTCCAATTTATGATACCATTCACGGTAAGCAGTACATTTTAAGAAATTAAGTCACAACCTTTTTTAAAAAATGAATTCTTCAAAATTATTTTTGGTTGTGCTGGGTCTTTGTTGCTGCGTGGGCTTTTCTCTAGCTGAGGTGAGCGAGAGCTGCTCTGTTGTGGAGCGTGGGCTCCAGGTGCCTGGGCTTCAGTAGTTGTGGCTCACGGGTTCCAGAGCTCAGGCTCGGCAGTTGTGCACGGACTTGCCCCGGGTGTCATATGGGATCTTCCTGGGCCAGGGATTTGAACTCGTGTCTCCAGCATTGGCAGACCTATACTTAATCACTGGACCACCAGGGAAGTCCTCACAATCTTTTAATTTATCTTAAAGACTTTTGTGCTAAACTTGGTTTTTTTAAAAAATATGGCTTTTGTTTTAATAGACATGTGGTAGTATGTATTGTTGGTAGAATTGTAACTTTTCTGACCATAATTTGGAATAATGCTTGCTGCATTTGTGCAATATAGTAAGCAAATACATCATTTTGAAAATCATCTAATATTAGTACTCTGTTTCTAAAGCATACTTTAAAATGAATGATTTTGAAACTTTTCTGCTTAAAAATTCTTGAAAGGAAGAAAAGTGTTCAAAGGCTTTTTGTTACCTAAAGTTCTCAAAGTCTGGTCTGGGGACATCTGTGTGTCCCCGAGATACTTTCACAGGCCACGAGAAGTGAGATGAAAACTGTTTTCGGCATGACACTTTTATGTATGCCATTTGCCATTTTTAGCCTTATTTTCTTACGAAGTTACAGTGGAGCTTTCTAGAGGTCTTATGATAATATGTTACCACACACTGAATGCAGAGCAGAAATGAGAATCTAAATATTTCATTAAGTTGCACACTATAGAGGTTCGAAAAAATGTAGTGACACTCTTATCATTAAACATTTTTTTGTTTTTCAAAATATAGTTATTTTTACAAAAATATTTATTTTGACATAAATGGATTTCCTGTTAGTTTAAATGAAGTAATAGGTAAATATTTTTCTGAATTCTCAGTTTAAATTTGTAACATTGTAAATATTGAAGATAGGTTTTGCCCCACCTAGACAAAGACTCTTTGAGATCCTCAATAATTTTTGAGATTAGAGGGGCCTAGTGGCAAAAAGTTGAGAACCACTAACCTAAAAATAATGTCATGTCTTTAAAAGGGCAGGTGGACTCATAAGAAACTGGCAGATGCTTCTGCCTACAGTCTTGCACTTTTCTGCCTATGTTACATTTTTGACCTGGCAATTCCATTGATAGTAGTTTAATATAAGAAGGTAAGATGTTTGATGAGATTTGTGTGTATTGTGACATTATTCATATTCTGTATTTTTACTGATATTTAAAATGGTAAAATAAGTTGGGAACAGTATTTACTTAAATAGAGCGTCTGTAGAATAAAAATAATTAGGAAACAAGATTAGCATTGCTATTATGATTGATACATTATTTCAAAATCATTAATTGGCATTTATTTGCTGATTATTTAATTATGCTTTATTTTCTAAAGGAGGAAACTTGATTTTCCTTTTGAAATTACAGGTATCCGTGGGGAAATCAATGTAGTTGTCAAAGTAGACCTCTTCAATGATTTAAATCGATTCAGGCAGTCATCATGTGGAGTCAAATTCTTTTGCAGTAAGTAAATATATTTTATTACTCATTTGACAGGACATTTAATAAGTTTATTAATATGAGAAAATTTTGTTAACTTATACATGTTTATATTAATAAATATGAAAATATTAATAAATATGTTAAATATTAGAAATCAAATTAATATTTCAGAAGGCTAACAGAAAACCTATCATACTTTGGTCTTAATGTCAAAGGGAAAATTGCTAGTTTTTCAAAACTAATTGCTGTAGCTCTGGAAACTTAGATCTGATTTTAAAGTAGATGATAGCCAATTTTTCACAAGTTCATAGAAAGTTTTTTCCAGAAAAATCCAGTGGGGCATTTCTGTGCATGTGGCTGTCATGACGATGTCACAGTGGCCCACAGGGAGGCTGCCTTTGGCTGTTCCCCCGCTCTCTGCCTTCTCTAGTCTCTATGCCAGCCTCCGCCCAGGCCCACAGAGCATGAATAGAGGGAATCACATTAATTACCGCTGGTTACAGTCACTTAACACCATTAGAAAGAGTAACAGGTGAAGATTTTTGAATCTTTTTCAGAATTTTTAAAGAAGAATCCATATGTTAATGAGAGGATATTTACTTAAACCTTATGTTTAGTGATACTGGGTTTGAGGTGGAGAATTGATTGGTAAAACACTACATAAGAAATATCTAAGAATGACTGGAAACAAGATTGAAGATAAAGGTGAAAAGTTTTTTCCTGCAGTGCAACAAATTAATTCAGCCTTAGAGAAATTAGTTATAGGAATGCAAAGTGTGCTAGCATTTGGCACAGTCTTAACTCAAAACGTAATAACTAAGGGAATAAACCCAAACTGATATATAGAGAATGAGCCCACAGTTCATCAAGGCTACATGTTGAAAGAAAATGAGTGCATTCTTAAACTAGGTGTGAGCCCATGTGTAATATAAAACATTGTGATATAAAACAGCTGATACACTGTATTTGAACATAGCCTACACTACCTTGATGTCAGCAGGTAGTCAGTGGTCAGAGACAACTCTAGTGGAGAGAACTTGTTGCACTTTCTTAATCAATGAAGACAAATCCATTAATATCTACATTGGGAAACATATTTGATGAGGCTACATGTGTGGAATATTCAGACCTAATTCAAATGGGTTGTTCAAAATCAGACAGTATAGACGTGGAACCATTTGTGGTGGATGGACATGTATATCTTGCAGAAGTCTCAGATGGCTTTAAAAAGCAGAATTATTTAAAAAGCATATTTATTGAACACTAACTTATAGAGAAGATTGCAAGCTGCTCATCTAGTTTAAGTTTTACTCTTGTACCAGTAAACAAAATCTTAAAATAATTTTCACATATTTGTCTTATTTTATAAAAATTAATATTTTACTGCCTATTACATTTTTTCATAAATTAGAACAAGTTATTTTTGTCAAATGTGTGAAAGATCCGACTATAATTAAGCTTTGAAAAACTGTCACAAAAAAGAAAAATGCAGTGGCATTTTATGCTGGTATAGGATGCTGAAAGATAGGAGCGGAGTACCGTGGTACTATCCAGAACGACATAAGCATCTACAGGTATGGAGCCTTGCAAATGCCATGAAATATGGGGTTGCAATTAAGCAGTTCTGGGCAGTTCATAGCCAGCCTGAGCTAACAGGGTTGAAAACTCCTAAATAGTTGAGTTAGTTTCAAGGTACATGAATGGCTTGAAACTAATGACTCCACCACAAATGGCTCCATATCAGTATTATCTGATTTTGAATAGCCCATATGAATTAAGTATAAATATGCCACACATCAGATTTGTTTCCCAGATGTTGATATTAATAGAATTTTTTTTATTGGTTGAGAAAGTGTGAATTCTCGAATTCTCCCCTTTTTGATAAATCCAGTGAGCTTTGTTGTTCTCAGTTTTGAATGAGTCTGTTGAGTAGTGAGATGACTACTGAACCAGTTGGCCATGGAGTCATGGATTATTAGGAACTACAAACCTGTAGGACTTCTCAGATTAAATCAGAAAGGTAATGGTTTGATTTTTGAGGCTGCATTATGAGGTGTTCAGAACTTCTTAAAAGGACTTCCAGTAATTAGAGGTTTTTGGCATTCGTTATCTGCTTTCTGATTTTTTATATAACACCTACTTAGCTTAGTTTAATTTTGACTTTTTTATATTTTGTATTGAATACTATTTAAGATGGTGTGTATCTATTTTGTATATTATAAAAATACAGTTTGTATCTACTATGCTTATATGAGAAAGGTGAGAAGTCTCATGAAAGAAAATGATTGTTTCTAAGAATAATCATTAGAAGCAATAGAAGACTGTTTGATTGGAAGTATTATTATGATTCCACTGAGGTTATCACAATAAAAGATGTTCTTGTAGTATGTATCCACAAGGTAAGAACTAGTTGTACATTTTTAAAGGGTTGAATTTAACTTTGTGATAAACAGAACATAATAAATAATTTTCTTTAACAGCAACATCTATTCCAAAGTGCTATAGAGCTGTAATAATTCATGGATTTGTAGAAGAACTTGTGGTCAATGAAGACCCAGAGTATCAATGGATTGATCGAATTCGCACGCCAAGGGCATCAAATGAGGCCAGACAGAGGCTCATTTCTTTAATGTCAGGTATTTGAAAAATAATAACTTCATGACTGATTGACTTAATCCTCCAAAATTCTTCACTTTCTTTTGACATGTTACTAAAATTTTACAATGAAGGCTATGAATTGTAACTGACTGTTTCCCTATCCTTGGCCCCTTTCTGCTAAACACATGTGCATTGTTGTTTTATAACAGGAAGAAATCTGAATCAGAAGCTTATGGTTCCTTTTTTTTTGGTTGTTGGAGGGACTTTTGTTTATGAAGTGGAATAGTGGGAAGTAGTTTTCCTCCTTTGAGTGTTTATTTGTAGTCAGAGCTTAGGTGATCTCTCTGAGGCCTTTTGTTTGCCTGCCTGCTCAGTCACCTCAGTCGTGTCTGACTCTTTGCCAGCCCATGAACTGCAGCCCACCAGGCTCCTCTGTCCATGGCATTATCCTGGCAAGAACACTGGAGTGGGTTGCCATGCCCTCCTCCAGGGAATCTTCCAACCCAAGGATTGAACCCAGGTCTCCTGCGTAATAGATCATTTTTCCTGTATTGTGGGCAGATTCTTTACTGCTGAGCCACCAGGAAAGCCCCTAGGCTTTTTGTTTAAATGTCTTTTCATAGTCCTTCTCTGACAATTTATACCTCCTTTTAGGCCCTATTCCCCTGCCACCCTTACCCCATTACTTTGTTTTCCTTTGAAGAACTTATTTCCATCTAAAGTTTGTATTTATATGTATGTGCATGTGCACACACACACACACACATACATTCATTCTCGTATATATCAGATAATACATATCTTACATTCGTATTTAATAAATGCAAATGTGTTTATAATAAATTTGCATATTTAAATAGAAATATAGATATATTTATAGTTATTAATATATTATTAAGTATATTAACATGTACTTAATATTTATAAATTTTTAATATAATTGATAAAATTTTAAATATTTACAAATATTTAATATTTGAATGCATATGCATAATATTTAATATGTTACTGTTAATATATTAATTTAATGTGTTTTATTGTATTTAGTCTACATATTAAGAAATCATATATAATTTATTATATTTATAATATATTAAAGTGTATTATGTGCTGTATATTCTATGTATTTTATTTATATGTAATACTTGTTTACTTGTTTTTTATCTGTTTCTCCCCCCAGTATGTAAATACCACTAGTTTTAGGGCTTTATCTTTCTTGTTCCACTCTGTATCTCTAGCACAGAAGAAAAGAATGCCAGGCACACAGTATACAGCTAGAAATTATTTAGTAAATGAATGCATGAATGAGTGAACCTTACTTAGCACGTCTGGAAAATGTAGCTAATAATATCTTACCTCCTTGACTATAGGAGTAGGTACCAGGTAATCTTCTAGATTCCCTTCAAGTTCTCAAAATCTGTAATTTTTCTGGACCCTTTCTAATCACCACCATACCCAGCTTTGTATTTTGAAACATACAGATGAAAAGCTGCTGAATTTTCTTCCCGTTTTTGCAGGCGAACTGCAGAGGAAGATTGGCCTGAAAGTCCTTGAGATGAGAGGCAATGCGGTAGTTGGGTACTTGCAGTGCTTTGACCTGGAAGGCGAGTCTGGGTTGGTGGTGCGCGCCATAGGAACAGCGTGCACGCTGGATAAATTAAGTAGCCCAGCGGCGCTCCTTCCTGCCTGCAACTCCCCGTCCAGAGAGATGAAGGAGTAAGTATGAGTTGGTGAAGTGTTCTTACAGAGCTTTTTATCTTTTGCATACATGTTTTCATTTAATTTGAAACATTTTAGTAGAGTGGTTCAAAATACATTTTTTCCTGTGGCAATTTTACTTATCAGAGATGACTATCAAAATTTGAAACTTAGGTCTTCCTAGTATTTTTTATACTGTCTTGTGGAATTCATATTAAGTAATGTATAATTAAACTTGTTCTACATCTTTAGGCACTGTGTACCTAAAGCATAAAATGAACATTTATGCATTGTGGGGAATTTTACTTGTTGTATGGGAAATGCTTAATACCCCATACCTAATAATCCAATTATGCATATTATTAGCAACATAGTATAGAAAGCAGGGAAGACTGACCTGTTCAGTGGTCTTAAACTTCAGTGTCTACAGAGGTCAAGCAATTATAGAAATAAAATAATTGGGTATAATTAAATGGTGAATACTGGGACTGCATAGAGTAGATGTTGGCAAACTTTTTCTGTAAAAGACCAGATAGTAAATATTTCATGCACTGGACATATAGTTTTTATCTTTGTTTATAAAAAAAAAAAAAAAAAAGAAATTTGCTTGTTTTGACCTAAAGGAAGTTAGAGTCTCACATTGTTTAAAAAAAAACTCCATCTGATCCAACAACACATTTCTGTTGGCTTGATTTGGCTTATGTGTCATCATTTGTGCTTAAGGCAGAGATTCTCAACATGGTGCTGGTGCTATCAAAAAGGAATACTTGAAATGAAAATTTTCTCTTGTAATATTTGGGGTAAGGTGGATGATTCTATTGGGGATCAGAAATGCTGCCTGTTCTGCAGAGCAAGGGACAACTCTATACAACGACAAAGACTTGTATTTCCACTGAGAACCATTGCTCTAGAGATTCTTGTAGATCACAGGTCAAAAAACTTTTTTTGGTAAATGACCAGAATGGGAATAGCAAAGACTCAACTTTGCTGTTGTTGCATGAAAGCAGCCAACAATACTTTGCAAATGAATGGGTGTGTCTTTTGTTCCAATAAACCTTACTTATTTTTGAAAAACGAATGGCAAGATGAATTTGGTCTGTACTGTGTAATGTGCTGACCTCTGACTTTCATCATCAGGGAGTCAGGGTTCTGTAGTCAAAAAACCCAAAATGTTTCCTAATTCAGCAGTAAAGAGAGGTTGCCTAGAAAGCAATCACAATGTTTTTTCAAACAGTCTTTATAAAGGTGAAATTTTTCTCTTTGTCTCAACTTATTCTTTTTAATTATTTCTTTCTGCTGACCTTTAGTTATTAGAATTAAATTTTAGTCACAAGAGAGAGCACAGTGTTACCCGTATGCTACCTAATTTTATTTAGAAGTATTGATAAGTGTAATTGTTTTAAATAAGTTGAGTGAATTTGCTTTGTATTCCATTTAAAATATGTCTTAAAAAAGGTGTGAACTACCTTATGCTATAGATAAAGTCAGATGGCAGATATTACCTTTTGGGGGATTGAGATTTTTTTCTCTTTCCATAGCAAATTTACTTGAAGACCTGGGTCCCTTCTTCCTCCACCCTCCTGCTTTATCTGTACTGCCTGAAAGGGCCTGGCCTTTGCAACTGTGATGTCTGAAGTTTTCCTCTTTTTACTAAATTACTTAGTGGAAAGAAAGCTGCAGTACCTGTTGTTGTCTTAAAATGGTATATGGATAGTAGGGAAATACATTTTGCCTGCGTTCAGGGGGAGTTCCGTTAATAGTAAACTTGAGCTTATCTAAGTTTTCCCTTTTTCTAATTTTGTTGCAGCCATTTGCCTTAAATTTTCAGATATTCACACCATGATGAATTTAAGTGGCTTCATTAAGATTTTCTGATGACATCTTATTACTTAAGTCATGTTATTTAAAAAAAAAAAAACTTTCAACCAGCTTCTTTGTCTTTTTGATAAAAAATTAGTTTGGGTGCTAGTTTAAAATTGTTTTATGAGTCATCTGATTGTATTACTTTGCTATTTAATTTTAACTTTGTTGATTCTAGACAGGAATTTGATAAAGGTAGTTTGGATTATGTTCTTGTCTGAATGGATTTAATGTTAAGAAATACCACTAGCGTATTCTTGTAAGGCAACCTTTCATATAAGACCAATAAGAATTAGGGGTCCAAGAATACATTAAGGTGATGCTCCCTCCACTGTGCTTGGATTTTAATTTGATGTCATAATTTGAACATTTAACAATGTTCATTTTATTTTGCTTTTATTAACCGTGTGTTCTATTCCATCAGTTTGTTTCATTTTAGATATGTGGTGTATTACAGAGTATAAATCTCTTTGGTGCTTCCTAGTTGAACTATCTTAATGGTAGAAAGTACATTTAAATATGATTTATCAATTCCCTACTTTTTTAAAAAAAGTACTTTTTAGGAGCTTTTAGTTATAGTTTCTCCTCTGTATGGTGCTGATCCTTAGACTTTTTAACTCCATTAGTCTCTTGAACAGAGAAAGAAAAAACAAAAATGAAACCTCACTCAGTTGCTTGTATAGAAATTGGTCACCCGTGAGATATTTGATTTTTATTATTTAAACACTTAAAAATTTAAGTTAGAAACAAAATCAGAAACATTTGTCCTACAGTAAAAGCAGTGATATTTTCAGAAAGTAGTGGTCTGTAAAGGACCGCTGTTGCCAGTTAATGAGAACTCATATTTGAATCTTGACAAATTGTGACTGTTGGGAATGTTCACTGGGCAATGGAAAGGAAGAAAAGCCAGGAAAAGTTGTGCTCTTGAATTACTTTTAATTTGAATTCTGAAAAATGGGAGCATGAGAGCTTTTCAGACTGTAGTAACTTATTTGTTTCTCTCCATTGTACATTAGGGAAGGAATTGCACAGCGAAATAATTGATTATATGAAGTCCAGGATTCTTAATTATATAGTATGCTTTTTTTTTCTTTCTTTTTGGGCATCCATTGAAACTGTGCTCTTTCAGCTAAATTTCTTTGTGAAAATTTTAAATGTCATAGATGAATGTATACCTGTGTATCTGGTCTAAATATGTATCTTTACATGTACATAGATGTGATCTATTGCAAGATATTAGTTGATGTCCTCCAAAGTTTCAATTCAGAATGTAGTTGAAATAAATTCTGTTTAAGTTTAAATAATACTGTCTGTATGAAAGTTACGGAAGAGTCATTTATATTGTTTAATTAATATTTTTACTTTTTTAAAAGCAGTGTTCCTTTGCTTTGTTTTGTTCCCATTGTAACCTGGTTTTAAGGTAGACATTTGGTGTGCAGAAATAGGGATGATTGGATATACATATATATTCATTTCACTCATTTATCTTTATGCTGTCATTTTTCATATTCTTATGTACCCCAGTCTTGATATTCTAGACAGAAACAATTCTGTTGTTTAACTTTCTTTATAGAAAAATATAATTAATTATATTAGCAATTATTCATATCTCAATTTCAAAGGCCATGTAAGAACTTCATATTTGACTTTTCATTTTTATGGGTATTTTCTTCCTGAAATACTGTTCAGTAAGCTCAGTGGTGATCAAAATAATAACAGACATTTTAAAGTAACTGAAAATCCAAATCGTAGTCTTTTTCTTATTCCACTGACAGTTCTGCTTGCTGTTTTTCTTATTCACAGTCATAATTTATTAATCTGATTCCTAACAAATTAATATCTAGCTCTTCTTTTTTTATCTCAACTTGTTTTGTGCATGCTAGGGATAAAAAAATAATCCTCTCCCCTAACTAAAGCTCGTTTGAAACTTATTTTAACATAACTTTGCTATCTGTTGTATGTATTGTTTTCTTTTCTTCCACTTTGACCACAAACTCCCTCAGGTCTCCGCTGGTTCATCCTCCAAGCCATGGATGCCGCTCGACTCACAACAGCCCAATTCACACTGCTACTGGCTCACGACTTACTCAGAACTTCTCTGTGTCTGTTCCCACTCTCATCTATACTGGTACGAGACTGCTCAGGCTCCAGAGCTGGGGAAGCAGGCCCCGGGCAGAGTGGCTGCGGAGGGCAGGCAGGCAGGTAGCGCAGGCAGGCCCCGCTCCTCCTCGCGCCCTGCTTTTCTCACCCCGGTCCGGCGGCCGTGAAGAACCCTGAATTTAGCCGCCGCAGAGGCTCTAGCTACATGGAAGTGAGAGTGTTCTTCCGGCTTCCAAAGTCTCTTCCATAGATCCCTAAGAACCCCATCTTGTGTGTGTGTGTATATATGCACATATATATACACATACGTACAGATACTGGGAGTTTGGGGAGAATCCTCCAGTGTGTATTTTTGCCATTATTTCTGCATTAGAAATAAAATAGATAATTGGAATCAAAATAAAATAGCTGCCAAAGCTTCCAATTTGCTTATTTTCTTTATGTACAAAGCTTGTCACAGTAGGGTCTGTTTCATTCTGTGGAAGAGAGCTGTTGGAAAACAGGTAAGCGACTCTTGTGCATAAAATGCAATATCTCTGTGTAGCTATATTCATTTTCCACTCTGCTGTGTTTTTAGCTGTGGCACTCTTGATGCTATAGGATAAGGAAACATGTTTTTTTTTTCCAAGATATTCGTGTGTGCAAATATAAAAACTATTGTGAATATTTACACACACTGTTTGCAGTCACCATTTTTTATTTTGTAACTTAAAAAAGCATTGTTTGTTTGAAAATATTTTTAATCATGTATTGATCCTTTTTGTTTATTTCTTCTTTTAATATTTTTTTACCCCTTGAGTCTGCCATTTCATGCTTTTTTGCTTTTTCCCTTGGCTTATTAACTGTTTCAATGCAGATAATTACTTATCTGGAGAGTGGTGAATGGTTAAACAACAGTTGGATGCCTTTGGCCTCAGACCCAGCTCCACACTTAAGAAATGACTACTGGCCCTGCCCCAATCCTTCCCTGGTGTTTGGATCATGCTGCCTCTGTCAGGTCCTTTGGCACATGATTGCTTAATATTTCTCCACCTTCTTCTGGCAGGATTCCCTTCAATGAAGATCCCAATCCCAATACTCACTCATCAGGACCCTCAACCCCTCTGAAAAACCAAACTTATTCCTTTTCACCTTCCAAGTCCTACAGTCGACAGTCCTCTTCTTCTGACACAGATTTGAGTTTGACACCCAAAACTGGTAAGGCACTTCCACTCACCTTTTCTTTTTTTCTTTTATTTTCCAGATTTGTTTTTTGTTCTTTATTAGCTTTCCATCCAAGCCTTTCTTCCTGTTTTTGGCATTTAAGTTAAAAGATAATGGAAATACTGATCATTTTCAGTGATTACAATTAAAATGTGAAAACTTTGTATAGTTCAGAAGTTATTTTGTTTAAAGCATGACATTTTGTTGATTTAATTATAGTTTAGATATGAAGTCCAGGATTTATTTTTGCATGTAGACATTTTTCATTTCATGCTCCAGTTAAAAGGAATAACATCTCAAAGCATTTGAATAGAAAGTAACACTAGTAGCTTGCAATCCAGTTCCTCGTGCAGTATAAACATTTTTGAATTCATTGTTTCTATTTTGAAATTTAATTCTAAGATTTTATTATGAAAAAATCTTAAAAATAGCTGATATTGTTATACTAGAGTATATATATTTGTTAGCTTATTATTTAAAATGTTTGGTTTTACTAGTTGTATTCTCTAGGTTAGAAAATAACATTTACGCTTTATTTATTCTTGCATATTTCTCAGTGTATAAAATTTATAATTTTTCCCTCTCCTATTTGTATTTTGCTGATCTCTCAGTTTTGTGAATATGTTTTATGATAAAAACTGATTAATGAATCAAATTAGTTTCTTATGCCTTAAAATAAAATTAGCTTATTTAAATCATCAAGTTAATATTCTTAAGAAAAATAAAAGATAAATGAAACATTTAAAAGTTAATAGTTTGCAGTTTTTGCAAATAGCATGTTTGGGAGTTTCCTTGACAGATTGAGGAAAACATTTTGCCTAGTTCATGTGTTATTTTTAATTTGTAATCTTTAATAACTTTATGTTAGACAAGAAATTTAGAACATGACCACAGATTTTATGAAAATAATGAGAAGAAATCTAATTCTAGAACCAGTGCTACTTTCACAGTAAAGATAGAGTGTTTTTAAAAAGCCTGTAGTCATAATATCTGGAGAAGGAAATAACAACAGACTCTAGTATTCTTGCCTGGGAAATACCATGGGTGGAGGCAGGCACCTGGCAGACTTCATAGGGTCACAAGAGTTGGACACAGTTTAGTGACTAAACCACCACCACCAGACACAATATTATTTTTTATAAATGTAGTCACAAAATGTAAAGAAGATAATTATTAATACCTAATTCTTTGAAAGGCATTACTTTATTTTTACATGTATAGCTATGAACAACAACAAAATAATGAAATAATGTGATATTTGATAGTAATGAATGCTGTGGGATGTGACATCTTAACCATATTGGTGTCATAAAAACTGAATCATTGAAACTGTAGGGAGGTGGGGGTGTTTTGTTTTTTGGTTTTTTTAAATTTTGTTTTTAAGTAAAGAATAAGATTCTGGCTTTGAAATTCATAATATCAAAACAATAAGCATGTAGCATAACATTTGATGAGTAAGTTTTCTAAATTTTTTGAGACTTTTCCACTGCTTGTTCATTTTTGTATTTCAAGCCACTTTTCAGTATT